CCACCACAATGCCTGGCCATTTTTTTGGTTGCAGCCATCATTGTTGTTTGGCGGGTCCAGGCTGGGGATTCGAACCCACCACCTTAGGTGTATGTAGCTGGCGCCTTAGCCGCTTGAGCCACAGACGCCAAGCCAAATTTCTATAATCTTTAAACATCTGAACTTTAATAATACATTTAAAACTAATTTTATTTAGCAAAGAATACCAAAATTGCCTGAACGAAAAGGCATTTGAGTTCTTTTCTATTTTCCTGATAAAACACTTGACGTAAGCATTTACTTTTTCTTTTTCTAAAGCCAATTAATTAGAGCTTTTCTGCATATTTTGATAGTGAAATATTACAGGCACATGACATATACAGACATACAGAAGCAGAATTTATATTTGCTGGCTTTTAAATATGTTTTTTTATTCAAACTATTAATCTTTTAATTACCTAATTTATTTATCTTAGGAATTTAGCTAGGTTTTAGTTATCATTTTAAGTTATTTTTCTCTTAACCATTTTTATACCCTATAAATTAAATATATAAACATAGTTTTAATTACTGCTTTTAAACTCATAAATTCTACAAAAAATAAAACTAAGTATTTTAACCAGACTTGTTATTTTAAAGAATGTAACATCATTATAATAATTCCAGGATCCATTCAAAGGCCACTTTTCTCTAGAGTCAAGGTGATAGATACATTGGCCTGCCCATGTTACAGTAGCGTTTCATTGCTTTTTAGTTATAGGTGGGTTCGCATACTGAGACCAATCAGACAGAATACACCACAATGGGCTGTGCTTTGGGATTGAGGCCTGAGTTCCCATTATACCAACTAGATGCAGAAATACCAAATTTCTCGAGAACAAAGCCAAAACCAACAAGAATGAAACCTGCAACCTGAATAAAACAAGTGGACCTTAGTGATTAACAACAGCATGTGTGTGAGAGCAAAGCCCCAAGACTCTGAGGAGAAATCTCCCACCAGTACGCCCACAAGGAGCATTGGAACACTAGGAGCATTGAAGCACTGTACCCCTGGCTCTCCTTTCCAGGAGACTGCTAGGCTTCTCCAACAGCACTTACACAGCATTTACTGGAGCAGTCTAGAGATCTCTACATGGTCACCAGAAATGTTACCAGACTAAGAGGGTCCTGCCACCTGTCACTGTCAGCCAATATACATAGATGGAGATAGGTCTAACCAAACTTTGTCAGAGGCTGAGATTCTGGAGAACGGTGAGAGTAGCCTCTCTAAGACAATTCTGATCTTCCATTTTCAGTGTTATAGTTTTATACATTTAAGTTCAAAGTGAAGACCATATTAATCCTTACCTTAAACAATAATCAGCAGAACCCTTGAATCATAGTAAACAATAATCAGTATTACCACCTATGACCCAAAACAATAAATCAAGCCACCTAAACTCCTCAAGATAGATATCTTTAGGGTGGGAGCTAAATTTACAAAACAGTAAGAGTGGGAGAGAGGGGGTGAGATCAGGCAGGATCTAAACCAACCAGCCCAGCTGTGTCAAATGGGAAACAAGGGGTGAAGGTCAGGGAGGAAATAAAACAACAATACCAGCAATGTCATGGCTGCCCTAGCCTAACAGACTCCATCTTATTCTTACCATATTGCTCAGGTAAATGTCGCCGCCCGTCCGGCGGGCGACTGAGCAAGGGGGAGTCGGCGTATGAGAAGATAAAGAAGAAGAAACGGAGAGGAAAGAATCACACTCACACACCAAGGTAGTAGGAGAGAAAAAGAGTAGAAGTTTATTGAGGCTGGCGGTGGTCTTTTATAGGGTGGAGTTAGGAGGGGAGGGGCCCTGTGCTGTGCTCTGCGTTTATGTCTAAATAAGGAAAGGCTTGATACATTTAGCTTGTGTGAGAGATCTTTTTGTTTGTGCTTTTTGTTTCCATCGGGCTTTCTAACGAGTACTGGTCTCTCCTCCCGGCCTTCTGATGCAGGGGCTGAGTCAGCCGAGGCACACTAGCACTTCCTCTTGCAATGTAGTTTGGTATGTCTGTTAACCCTTACAGGTAAAGTTTAGCATTGTTAATTTGACTCATGTAAATGGGAAGTGGTATCATGAGCACAGAAAAGAGGGCCAGTACTTGACTCACAGGGTCAGTGTAAGGCTTCACAGATAAAGAGAAACTTGAACTGAGTCAGGAATATAAAGCCTACAGAGAAGGCAGAGAAGGGCTCAGGTAGTATGCAGGGTCCAGAAACACTTTGAAGTGGAGGGAAGGTGGCAGAGTGTAGCTACTAAAGGAAGACAGTGAGCTAGATGGTTAGGAACAGGAAAGAGTGGTTGTGAAAGGGATTAGAAAGGTTGATTGTCTCCAGGTCAAAGTAGTTTTGATTGTATCAGAAATCAATGCAAAGTTTTCAAAATTTTGTAAACTATTCAGCTATGAAGGAGGAAAGACCTTTTTGTAATAATTTGGGTGGAACTAGAAACTATTATCCTAAATGAAGTATTAAAAGAATGGAAAAACAAACACACTTATACTCCTTATGAAATTGGAACTAACTGATGAGAACACATGTGCACAGAGGGAAGTAAAACTCAGTGGAAATCTGGTGGGGGTGGGAGGAAGGAGGACATGGGCACTTTATGTCTTTTAATCAAAGAATTTACTCTATAGTCAATGCTCTTATTGATAGGTAAAGGCTTAACTACTACAATTTTGTAACCTATTTTCTAGTCGTTTTGTAACTCCTTCTTCTTGTCCTCCTTTTTGCTTAAGTGATTTTCACTGATAGTATATTTTAATTTGTTGCTTTTTATTTATAGTGTATCTATTATAAGTTTTTTCTTCCTGGTTATCATGAGACTTACTAAAGACAGTTATTTTAACCAGATGACAACTTTGATCACAAAATAAAGAAATAAGGAAAAATTAAAACACTGTACATTTTAACTCTATCCCTCTCCATATTTTAACTTTTTATTATCTCAAATTTAATCTTTTCATATTGCCTATCCCTATTCCTTAGAAGGTTTATTATTAATTTTGTTAATTAATAAGACAGATTCATCAAAACTAATAATAACATTAGCCTTCATACTAGAGTTATGAGTGGATTACACACCACAATTACAGTGTAAGAGTATTGTGAATTTTTCTGTGTACTCCATCAGCAGATTTTATATCTGCACATATTTTCTTTCTGCACATTAGCATCATTTTCTTTCAGATGTTAAGATCTCCCTTTGGCATTCTTTGTAAGACAGGTATGGTAGTGATTCCTTCAGCTTTTATTTATCTGAGAAATGCTTTATTGCTTTACTGTTCGAAAGATTTTGTCCTTTATGAATATTTTCTGGGTACAAAATTTTCAGTTCACACTTGTTAGCTTTTGTTTCCCCCTCAACACTTGAGTATGTTGTCCCTCCTGGCATAGTTCTGGTGAGAAGTCAATTGCCAAATGAATCATAGTTCCTTACTATGTTATTTGCTTCTTTTCTTTTACTACTTTTAGAATCTTTTCTTTGTCCTTTACCTTTGAGAATGTATATGTCTTGGTATAAAATTATTTGGGTTGAATGTGTTTGGTGATCCTGTACCTGGATATCTACATAATTCTCTAGATGTTAGGCCTTCTCACATAATCCCATATTTCTTGTAGGCTTTGTTCATTCTTATTTCTCTGTTCTTTCTATTTGACTGACTTATTTAAATCAAAAGTGTAGTCTTGGGCAGTGCCTGTGGCTCAAAGGAGTAGGGAGCCAGCCCCATATCCCAGAGGTGGTGGGTTCAAACCCGGCCCTGCTCAAAAAAAAAAAAAAGGGTGTAGTCTTATAACTCTGAAATTCCTTTTTCTGCCTTGTTTAGCATACTCTTAAAGCTTTTCACTGCATTTTTTATTTTCTTGAATAAATTTCTCATTTCCAGAAGCTCTGCTTGATTTTTCTTTAATAATTTGATTTCTTAATTTTTCATTCATTTCCTGCATTACTTTTCTAGTTTCTTTGTGTTAGGGTTCTATTTTTTCTTGCATGTTATTAAGCAATATGCATTGCATTTATTACAATCCATATTCAATACTCTTCATCAGTCATTTTAATATTTTCATTTTGGTTGGTTTCCATTGGTATGGAGTTATTTTTTTTTCTTTTGGGATGTCCTTACACTCTGATTTATCATGTACCCAGAAGTATTTCACTGATTCCTTCTCATCTAGAGCAGCCTCTGCTTCTTATTTTGTATTATTTTCTGTAGATAATAGCATGCCCAGTTTAATCTCTGAGATAGTTGTTGCTGCTTGTGGGTGAGACTCACCTACACCCTGTATGATGGAGTCAGTAAATGCTACAGAAGGCATGCAAATTCACCTTCCTATTAGTTAGGTAGCCCTTGCCAAAAGGAACAAGCTTCAGTGTTATTTGGGGCCCCATGACCACCTCTAGTCCCTCAAGAGAAACACATGATTGCTGCAGGTGGTAGGTGGGGATCTGGAACTTTAGATGTGTCCTTATTATCTGCCAGAGCAGAGGTTTGTGGGGGAGTGCAGCTGGGTAGGGTTAGGTGGGGTGAGCTTGCATTTGGGCTCCACCCAAATTGGCAAGGTATCTGTTTCAACAAGGGTCAAAGGTCTATTCCCAGATTCTAGGCAAAGCTGCCAGAGAGGGGCTATAGGGGCCTCACCCAATCACAGATCTTCCCTACTTATCCCCAAACAATATGACTGAGACTTGTGGGTACAGACTGACCTGCAAGCCTGTCCCTGGGGCCCCAGAGATCAATCACTGACAAGGCAGGGGAGAAGTGTGCTAGTCCTGATTATTGATGTGGTGCCCAAGCAGCTTTGGTGACTCTTTGCCTCAGGGTGTGCCTCCACTCTGATGGAGTCATCAGGCACACAGCACCAGAGGGGACCAGTGGGCAGGGAGCTCACAGTGTAAGCACTTCTCAGTCAGGACCCCTAGAGGAAAGGTCTGAGGCCCAAGGTCTGAGGTCTCAGTCCACTCTAGGACGCCTAAAGGAAAGGTCTGAGGCCCACTGTCTAAGGAAGCCTTGGCATGTTCCTCATATGTCTCTCTCAGCAGCCATAGATAGAGGAGGTGAAGAAAAAGAGTTTGGAAAGTGTTGAGAGTCTAGTGGATCCCAGCCTGGGACAGTGGTCAACAAGGGAGGTGGTGCTGGGGAAATCTCAAGACTTTACATCAGATTAATAGCATAAAGCCTGAAAGCCTATAAGGCCACACACTCTTTCAGATACCAGGTGGCAGCCTGAAAACAATGCAAGTCCAACTTATCAATACCTAAAAATGTGGAAATGGCTATAAGCTGTATAATGAGTATACACTGGACCATAAAGGGCTATTCTGGTGAAGACTCAGAAGAAGAGAGCTATAAATAGCGCTTTGGTCTACTGTGAGATTATTTAAGTGGTTGTGATCAAAATGTTGGGAGCAATGTGATGATAAAAAGAGTTCAGTTTAGTCTTAGGAAGAAATGAGAAAGAAGTATTGGAAACTAGAGGAAAGGCCATCATTGCCGTAAAGTAGCACAGAATTTGGCTGACTTGTGTCTGTTTCCTAGGGCTGGTGGAAGGTAGCGTGATGAACTAGGATATTCGGTGGAAGAAATATTTAAGCAAAGAGTTAAAGATGTGAAATAGCTTCCCTTAAATGCTTATAGTAAAAACAGAAAAGAAAGTAATGAATTAAAGACAGAAGGCACAAAATCAAAGGAGAAGTAGAACTTAAAATATTTGGAAAATTCTCAGCATGGAGAGGTTGTAATGTATAAAAAGGCATATTTAGGAAAAAAATAGCAAGAGTGTGGCCTGGGAGACTGAAGTATGTCAAAAGAAAGGCCTCAGCATTCGCTTCCGTGTGCTGCCTCAAGTCTCTGCTCCCCACATTCTGCTACAATGCTCCTCAGTCATCCCATCTATGGCTCAAGCAGTCCTGGAAGTGGCTCCGACAGTTGCTTTGAAAGGTGCAGGCTGTAAACCCACGCAGCATCTACACAGTGTCAATTCTGTAGGCACTCAAAGTGCAAGAGTTGCAGAGGCAAATCCACCTCCCTCTAGACTTTAAAATATACTCTGGAGAGCCTCAAGACCTAGGCAGAGAATTTCCATGATGGGGAGAGTCAACACAGAGACTCCCACCAGCACAATACCTAGTAGAGCAATAGGAGTGGGATTAATGGAGAAACTAGGGCAGTGCCCAGAGAAGCCTTAAGGACACAGGTACCACTAGGGCAATGTCCAACAGAGCCCTGGAGACAGAGGCACCCCTGAGACTTCAGAATTACAGAGTCAACAGGGTGCAATTCCAGACTGAGACAGCTATAGGCACTTAGCTCAGCAGAGCTCTGATGTGAGCTGCATCCAGCAAAGCCATGGGAATGGAGCTCACAGGGATTTCAGGGTCCAAACCCCACCCTACTATGTCTAGAAAGTAGGATGAGAAATCAAAGACCATTATTCTCAAGGCTTAGGATTTAATGTTGTTTATCCTATTGAAGTTTGGAGTTTCTTGGGACCCATGTTACCCCTTACTTCCGGTCTATTGCTCACTTTTGGAATGGGGATGTCTATCTGATCCCTGTTCCACTGCTGGGGCTCCACACTCTTGAAAGATGAGTGACTGATAAAAGGACTGGAGGGAACAAACTAGGTCCTTTTTTGGCCTTTTTCTCTTCTGCCTTTTGCCATGTAAAGATGCAGCAACAAAATGCATCTGAGAAGCAAAGATTCTTCTCAGTGTGAAACATTGAATGTC